CAAGGATGAACCTGTTGAAAGCAGAAAAATCGAAAAATGCTTAGTATGAGTTATTGTCTATGAAAGCGCGTTAAATTTTAACTTGTAAACACACTAAATGGTACAATTCTTGACGGATTACCCAAGCATGAACCTATCTATCCAAAGAGGGACACACTAGTCGCCTCTCACTTCCATTTACAGAGACACTCCAGTCAAAATCTCGACTACCTAATAATCAACCGACTCGTCACCAACACGGATCTAACACAGTCTACAGCCAATAGGCCCTCCATTTAACTCCATTGGATATCAGATTGCAAACTTTCCAATGGGATCAATGACAAATCTAAACTTGGAAACCCCCACTTCTTTCTTTGTTATACAAATATTTTTATTCACAATCAAAGCTGTCAGTGGGTGTATATTACCTTGCCTGGCAAGCTATCATATTCTTTAAGTCTATGATAAATATCAGGTACATAAAAGTTGTATTTTTGTAGGACAGGACAGAAATTTTAGCAAACTTGCTTTGTTTTAGGCTGATGTCATAGTGAATACAGCTTCTGCTGAACTAAACTTACAAAATGGTGCTGTATCTGGGTCTCTTTATAAAGCTGGTGGATCAAGTTTACAACAAGAATGTGATCAAAACTATCCAGACGGTATACAAGTTGGTGATATAGCTATTACTTCTGGTGGAAAATTGAAATGTAAAAAAGTTTACCATACCACTCTCACTCAGTATGCACCAGGAACAGAAAAGGTTTGTGAATATAAATCTTCTAAAAAAAAAAAAATCATCAAATTTTTTTCAAGTAGTAAAACCTTTGTCATTGAACTTTTTATTATCATTATGAAATTGTTACGTTTATGCTTTCAGTTCTTAAAAAAACTTATTTTGGACTGCATTGTAACTGCTGAAGAAGCAGGATTTCAATCAATAGCATTCCCAGCTATTGGTACTGGAAATTTAGGATATCCTAGAGATGTTGTTGCTAAAATATTTTATGATAGTGTTAATGAATATAAAGTTAATGGTGGAAGAATTAGTAATATTAATATTGTAGTATATGGAGGTGATACAGCCACAGTAAAGGTTAGCAAGGAAATTCTATAGATTATTATGAAACTTTAAGGCTAACAATACTAACAATATAAATTCCTATACTGGGATTTATGGTGATACAGGTATATCGCCCAGCCTTATTACCTTTCCTGGCAAGTTATCTTTTGTTTTGATGTGTGTTTTGTCAATATTTTTACAAAAATGAAACTGTGAGAGACTCTACATCTTGAAGAATCTACAGTACTGTGAATTGTACATGTGTCTCTGACATCTCCCAGATGATTAATAGAATCATCCATTAGAAGGCCTCTTACCAAACATTTTGCTAAATTTGTCTGGAATTGCAGGAACCATGACATTAAATTGGTATGGTACATGTTCAGTTCACTTAATTTTCAGGCTTTCCAATTCATATTTCAATCAGGCGGTACATTCCAATCTAGACCTCAACCTAAGAAAAGAGGTAGGTATAATTTGTTTTTAACTACATTTAATTTTGCTGTTGGAGAACACAAACTGTTGTTTGAACTTGGTCGAATTTTTAGTCTGTAATCTAAAAGGCATAATTCTTGACAGATTTAAAAGAAACTTCATGAAATTGTTTATTGTAAATCTTAAATTTTTTTTTTAAAAATCAGAAAATGTTTAATTTCTCTGCTCATCAAAATGCTTCTATGATAAACCTTAAGACATTGACAAATATTGAAGCCAATTTTCTATTTGAACAGTTCTCACAGAAATTAGATTATCATCTAAGTGTAAACCCTATGAAAAGTATAGAATATTGAAAAATTATTGAACCTTACTTGAATTAAATACATTTTTATTTGCCCACATGAAATTTGGTAGGTACAGTGACCAATCAGTCCATTGATCCGTCTGTCCGTCCACAGATGCTCTTGAAAGCACAATTCTTTACAGATTTTGACAAAACTTTGCACATATGTTGATTATCATCCAAGGATGAAATCAAAGAAATCAAAAAATACTTTATAAGCTAATATAAAAGCTAAGTTATTGCCCTTGGTTTTAGCTAATAAACACTTCATAAGGCACAATTTCTGCAAGATTTTGACAAAACTTGCTTATATAGTTCACGCAAAAAAGGTTCAAAGGAAATGTATGACTAAAGGTTGAATATTTCATACTAGTGATTGTTCCTGAACTGATTACATATAAAGATTCTGCCAGTGGGTGTTATCTTATTAGTTTTGATCATTGTGCTTTTAAACAAAGCTGCCTGTGGCCACATGCTACTTTGTCTGGACGTTTTCATAAAACTTTGTGTTTGTATTAAATACAAAAAGTGTATGTTTAAATCTTAGCTATTTGTGACAATTTTATTGAATATTTGAAATATGATGCTGTATAAAATGTTGTATACCTATAATTAGCAATAGAATTTCTTGAAAGTGAAAGTTTCCTAATTTTATCAACTGTATGCTAACATGGGTATATTTGTTATTTAAAGGAAAAAAGAAATCTGACATGCAAGAAACAAGACAAGATGATTGGATAGAAGTTACAAGTGGTGAAATGGTTAAGGGTATTAATGTTGGTAAATTTAAACTTATTGTTAGAAGTGGAGATATTTTATCAGCCAAGGTTTCAATAATTGTAAACAGTACTGATAGAAATCTATCATCACTAGGTAAATATTAAAATGATATATTCCTGTACTCTTCACCCTTAAATAACATGTTCAACATTTGAATTTTATCTGAATTCTCCTAACCTTACTTAATAATAGGACATGTTCTCCATCTATACGATCATTTGTAAAATAGAAAGAGAAATTAAGCTAATCAGTAATAGTTTTCACAGCTTACCATCAAAATATTAATCTCCTAATCTGTATCAATTATTATTGGGTTTTGGAGTCATTGGTTTGTAGACATGATACTAGACATGAGGCTACAATAATTTAAGATGATAATTTATAATTCTTATAAATATCTTAACATTTTTAAAAAATTTAAACTTGAAGGCAGTGCGATTTTGATAATTTGAAGTATTTGGGTTATTGCTATTGATTTAAAAAGATTTTGTGAGAAAACTCAGTATAATTAAAGACAGTAAATTTATGAGATATTCAAGGTTTTGTACTGCAAATGCATTAGAAAGAACTTAGATATGAAAAAATCCTTATTTTAGTCACTAAAATGTGGTATCATTTGGTCCAGATGTGGTTGACGTAGATTAGAGAATGGAGGAAAGTATTCAATTGTAATTCTAGAAATTGGATTTTGTGACCTCTAAGACTTAAGACCTCTTTTTTGGTTGCTTTTTATACGCCCACATCTCTCTATGTGGACGTATATTGTCAGCACCCCTGTCTGTCGGTCCGTCCGTCCGTCAATATTTGCTTGTAAACGCTCTCAAAACTAGATTTTTTGATGGAATCAAATAAAATTCGGTATTTGTATACATATTCATAAAACAAAGATCAAGTTTGAATTTGAGCTATTTTCGACCGCTAGAAGCAGAGTTATTGCCATTTCCCCAAAATCTTGAATATGCTATTACTCTCTTAGTTTTTGATGAAACTTGAAATGGATGTAATTGAACCTTAATTGAAAGGTTTGAGAAAGTTAAGTTTACTTCTGATTAAATTTAAGGCTTTTTCAAGATTTAGGTCTCTTACGTCAGTTTTGAGGAGTTATCGCCCTTTAACCTCTATACAGTAAGTGCTTCTATCAACATCAATTGCTTGTAAACACTCTGTCGGTCCTCAGTCCGTCAACATTTGCTTGTAAACGCTCTCAAAACTAGATTTTTTGATGGAATCAAATGAAATTCGGTATGTGGATACATATTCATAAAATGAAGATCAAGTTCGAATTTGAGCTATTTTCGATTTTGATGAAACTTAAAATGGATGTTTCGTTTTTACCATCTGCATGCCATGGTGGGCGTATATGGCTGTGGTCCACTATCTTTTAGAAACGAATGGGTGAAAATTTATGTTGCTTAATGGAATAATGTTTTGTAGGAGCTGTTTCAAAAGCTATTTATAAAGTTTATGGAAGTGATATTGATAGAAATAAATCAGCAGCAGGTAAAAAATATTTATCAATAATATTTGTGAATAGCTTGTGAATTGGCAAGAGTTGTATGATGTTGGCTCATAACCTCACGATACGTAGACCAAATATCATTATTATGATGATTATAGACATGATAAATTTTAAAAGAGGAAAACTGAGAAATAAAGATGAAATTTATTAAGTATGAGTTATTGCCCTGGTTGAGTGTTAGTAATCATCCAAGGATGAACCCTATTGAAAATCAGAATAATCGAAAAATAATTGATATGAGTTACTGCCCTTGTTCTTGAAAACGTGTTCAATTTTTAGCTCGTAAACGCTCGAGAAGTTTCAATTATTGACAGATTTTGACGAACCTTCGTGTGAGTGTTTGTTGTCTCCTAAGGATGAACCGTATTGAACATCAGAAAAATCGAAAAATAATTGGTATGAGTTATTGCCCTTGTTCTTGAAAATGCATTCAATTTGTAGCACGTAAAAACAATTCTTGATGGATTTTGATGAAACTTGGTGTGGGTGTATGTAATCACCCAAAGATGAACCCTAACGAAAATAAGAAAAATCAAAAAAAATATTTTTACCCCTGTTCTTATACGCATTCAAGTTTTAACCTTTAAACACTCTCGAAGGCCTAATTCTTGACAGATTTTGATGAAACTTAGTAATAGTAGGCCTATTCAATATCGCCTCTAAAAGTTCAAAAGAAGTGTATGTCTGAAAGTTGAATATATCATACCGGTAATTGTTAATGTGCTGCCAAATATTTTTATTTAAAATCAAAGCGGCCAGTGGGCGTATATTACCTTGCCTGACAAGCTATCTTCTTGAATGGTGGAGTTTGTCAGTTCTTGATCGCCTTTTAGCGGCGTATGATTTGCAGTGTAAAAGAAAGTGTTCGGCGTCGTCTAGAAGGACAAGTTATCTGAAATAAACATTTGGAATTTACGTGCTTTTACCTCACTTTTATTGTGTCTCAATCTGCAATGTATAATTTGTAATGCTCTTGTTCCGAAATTAAACAAGGTTATGACAACGTAATCTTCTGATGACAAAGCTTTCTTAAAGATGGCAACCGATCTTGCAGACTGAATATTTTGAGGGAGATTGTTCCACAGTTTTTTGTAATGCTCGGAATTTGATGGAATTTAGTTTTCCTGATTTCTGACAGGATAGGGATTGACAGAAGCAACTAAAGGAAGGACAAGACTACTGAAGAAGGGGGGTACTAATTTGTTAATTATTTTGTAGAATAAGGTAAGTTTATGACGATAATGGCGAGTTTCAAGAGAAGTGAAGCATGCCTCCCTGTACAGAAGTTTGTGTGATGTTCCCCGAACTAGTCCGGTAATGGTTCGTAAGGCATTTAGTTGCAGGTTCTCTAATGTGCTGCGGTCTCCTTTTGAACAGTTGTGCCAGATGACATCTCCATAGTCAAACACTGGAAGAATAAAGGACTTGTTGATCAGTTCCAAAGTTTTACTATTTAATCAATATTTTAGGCTTCTGAAGGAGTCTATCAGTATTCCGGCTTTTAAGACGATGTTTGCAATGTGACAAGTCCAGGTTCCAGAACTATCGAAGAACAGTGTTTGTGATGTTCAACTGCTGTTATGATTTGATTATTAAAAGAAAGATTGATTTTGGTGGGAGCCCTTTTTCTGCTGAAATGAAGAGAAACAGTTTTTTTTTTCCAGTTGTTAGACCATTCGAGGATTTTGCCCAGGCCTTGATTTGGGTAATTTTGGCAAGCAGATGGTTCTTCAATAGTAACGTAGAGAGAGGCATCATCTGCATAAGACAAATGTTGGAATTTAAGCTGTTTACAATGTCGTTGATATATATCATAAATAAGAGAGGACCTAGAACAGATCCTTGCAGAAAACCATTTGGGACTGGTGTTGGTTCAGATCTTTGGTTTTTTGACAATCGGCACTACATTAGTATCTTTCCATACGACAGGAAAGTTTCCAGGAGAAAGAAGGGTGTTGAAAATCTTAACTGATTTGAGTTGGCTTCTATAGAACGACTCTATAAGGAGGTGATAGATTTGTTTCCTACTTCTGCCCATACAGCTTCAAGTCCAGGTACTATTAAGTCAGACAGAGGCTTGAGGAATAGTCGTTTATGAACATATATAGCAACCCCTCCTCCTGGGGCATCCTCTCTATTGCACATTAACAGGCTGTGGTAGTTACTGAATTTTATTCCTTTGACATCTGCATCATTGGTTAGCCAGGTTTCAGACAAGGTTATTATGTCAATATCATTGAAGGCTGCTTGTACAAGATCAAAAGGATCATCACTATTTAGACTTCGGACGTTGTGGTGAACAATATCTGTTTCTGATTGTAGGTTATGGGGTCCTTGAATTGCTCTATGTCATTGCACAGCAACAAAATTAGGAGATGGGTGGATGAAACAGGGTTATAAAGAAGAGAGCAGTGATAAACTATTGACATTCATTCGCTTTCTGATACTTATCGTCATTCCTTATGCTTGTGCATTGTTATATTTTTATGATATGGCACTCGATATGAGCCTAAATAAATGTGTGAACTGTAAAGTGTTTTTAGATGAATTTAACAAGCAGATGAGTTGAACTTGATAGAAAACTAAAACTACAAGCGAATGCTGAGACACGAACATCATTTAAAAGTCCTGTAGTATATCCTAAACTGCTCCTGGTCAGATCCAATGGTGCACCAATAAGACTATGACTATAACAAAAGCTAGGAGTCTGTACAACATAGAGCAAGAAAGAAAATATATATATAAATTGAGTGTTTGGAACATTTTAGAAAAGATGAACTCAAAGAACACCCAAGGTAAGGGTGTATATACAAAGAGGTGAACACGAATATAAAGGTGCTGATTTATGTACATAGATAATGCCTGGAGAGGTAGTTAGGACCAAATATTTAGTTTAGAAGAAAACAAATGTACATAGTAGTAGTTGTATGTAGTTGATTAATGTAATCATGTATGTGTGAGGATGTGTAATTGCAGGAAGTAAGCAGCAAAATATATTTACCTATAATGAAATTGAGGTCAGGTAGTTAAAATAAACATTCTTGATACATACTTTACATCACAAGACATTCCAAAAAAGTTTTATGATTATATATATTTTACACTTTACAAATTATATATATGTTTCGGTTTTTTATTTATTAATTTGAATAAAATCTTGCCAAAGCATTTTTATTCCATGTGTACTTTTCTGAAAGGCATTAAATTTTTATCTGGTAAACACTCAAGAATGCACAATTCTCGAAGTATTTTAAAGAAAATTTGTAAAATTGATCATAATTAATTATGGAGGAATCCTGTTAAAAATATAAACAATCAAAATATATTTAATGAGTTTCTGTCCTTGTTCTTAAATTGATTTCTAGCTTGTAATCATTCTTGAAGGCACAGTTCATGACAGAATTTAAGGGCCTGGGAATCAACAACAAAGAAAGTTCTATAAGAAGTGTATGACTAGATATTGAATGATTCATGCTGATGATGGTAGCCAACAGTGGGTGTTTGTTACCTTGCCTGGCAGTAGGGCTGGGCAATATACCGGTATCACGGTAAATACCGGTATAGGAATTTATATTGTTAATAATATATAATATATGGTAATTATCATAATATACAATAAAATTTTTGCAGAGATAAGATCTACATAATTGTAACTTGATATTTGAAACAGATGTTTTTTTCAGGATATTCAAGACTGGGGTGTTTTTAGAGATATTTATTGTTTTATGTAACATTAAATTTCTAGATCATAATTTTCTTTCAAAAACCAGTAAAAAAAAAAAAAAAAAAAATTGAGATATATACCCCTATCGTGATATATTAATGCTTAATATTGTGATATCAACTTGGCAGGCTATCTTTCAACCATGATCTGTCATCTGCAGTTAGAACTAGAATTATCATTGTGTCAATTCATAATTTTCACATTTATATCATTAAATGAAGTATAACTCGTCGAAGACAGGAGCAGTCTTGGTGTCAGAGACTATTCACTATTATGCTGATAATTTGAACATTCCTTGTAATGATAAGCATACTGTGTGACTGGAAATGTTTCACTCTAAGCTCTGGAGATTAACAAATTTGATTGGTTGTTATGTGTATACATCAACATTATAATGTGGATGTGTTTAGGCTGAAATCTTAGATTTAATTTTGAAAATCCATAAGTTATTACACTTGTCTTGAATTGAAATGACTTGAATGTAATGGAGGATAAGATTTTGATGTCTTTTTTGATTATTAAGGTTTTTTTTTTTAAATATTCTACAAAATTTCTTACTTTTTGGTGACCATTCATTTTACATTGCAGAAATTAACATGGGTGAAAACGGAATAGCAGTAACATCTATTAGTACCGGTAACTCAAACATACGTTATATTATCCATGTTGATTCTAATAGATATAAGGATAATTGGAAAAAGGCAATAAATCTGTGTTTGAAAGAAGCTGATGATTTGAAACAACATTCAATAGCTTTTCCAGCTCTTGGAACAGGTAAGACTAATAGTGTTGGAATGATATGTTAATACAATATGACATGACATAATATGTACTGTATAATGTGCTCATGTATTGATAGTTAGTGATGCCAGGTGAACCAGACAAACATGTACATAAAACTTAGACATCATCCAGATATATAAAAATTCAAAAGTTCAATTTGTGAAAAAAAAACAGTGGCCATTGACACTTTTCTTTTTAGCACAATAAAAGCTACAAACAAGATATAAGGTACAAACCTTTGTGTATCTATTTGCAATATATTATATCTATAGTCAGTATTAGTCAGTTTATATACTAGTTCGAATGTTGGCATCTTTATTAAAACAAAATCTGTATTCTCTTTTTCAAAAATGATTCTGTTTCACTGCACCTTTAAAAACATTTCATATTAAGTATGTCAATGAAAAGGTAAAGATTCTTTATGTCGTTTTTAATAATGATAGTCAATCAGCTATTTGGAATCACTTGTAGATATAATATAACGTATATTAAAATACATAGTGTATTACAGGGGTGTGCATTTCAGTCACACTCAGCACTTTGCATTAGAGTTTACAATAATTTCAATCAGACTTTAAACTAATATTTATCAAAATATTTCTTTTCATTAACTGTCTTGCTCCATGAACTACTACAGTACTAATTTTTTTATGTGTTATAATCAAGAGGTTGTAATTGTTATTTACTAGACTGTTAATATAGTTACTTTTCTATATTGGTGTATATTGTTATCTTGCTAACCAATACTGCAACATGATTTTATTTTTTATGGTTCATTTTTTATTTTATTTAATGTAGGAAAATATGGAAATTCTATGGTGAAAATAGCTGAGTCATTTTATAAAGCTTTATCTGATACAAGTAATTTGAAAAATCTAAAAACGGTTGAAATTGTAATTTTCCAATCTATTGATCTGGATACTTTTGTAAATGGATTTACTACAGTCTTGAATGAAAAGAATAAAACAAAGAAATCTTTTATAAGAGGTAAGTTGATATTTGGAATTTGGTTTGTATTTGTATTAGAAAAAGATAACATTTTGTCTTAACTTGTTTTGAATTTTCTTGAATCAAGGCAAAAATCCATTCTGTAAAGTTTTCAGCTACTTATTTAAATTGGTACATGTATATTGGGTATATTATGTTATTAAAGAAGTGTGTTATACCATAATATATTCCCTTGTGTTTCTGCTACAATTGGGCATATTGTCAAATAAGTATAAAAGTATAAACGCTAGAAACATTTTCTGAAATATCAACTAAAATGCAAGTAAATATCAATACATCACATGGGTAAAGGTTGACAACTTACATGTATGTACCTGTTATTGTATCAAAATCTAGATTTGCCCATTTGTTGCATGTTGACCTACTATAAACATATATCACTAAGATTATTATTGATCAAATAGCATCAGAATAAATTAGAGATACAATTTGGTGCACCTTTCCTTTGTCTGGCAATATGTTTTCATGTTTGTTTTTGTTTTTATTGTAGGAATGCCTATAATAGGTAAACTCTATTCCTATTTAACAGAAGATGGTAATGATGATGGGTATGAAGTGGTTCCAGAAGAATTTGAAGACATAGATGAACAAGTAGTACCTGTCCCTAGTAAAAGTATTGATGATGTCTCTTTATCATTTTATTCTGATGATACTAAAGAAATTACAAAAGCTATGAACCAACTTGACAAATCAATCAAACTAGAAGTTCAAGAGTTAAAAATTCCTGTTGATGATGTTAAACTAACTGATGCACAGGTAGTTTTTATGCATTCACTCACTTTTATTGACATGAACTTTTGATAAACAGTTGTGTAGATGATGCCATCAACTTAACCAAAATTTATTCAACGTATTACATGACATTGAAATAGGACCACAGTGTCAAAGACAATCAAATGTGAAATATATTTGAAATTTATTATGTGTTATGCACAGTTGAATCAAAATGAAATATAAGGGTGGTCTGTTATCTTCACAATGTCAAGCTATTGCAAACTTCCTTTTTATACGCCCACACGTAAGATGGGCGTATATTGTAATCACCCCGTCGGTCCGTCATCCGTCCGTCCGTCTGTCCGTCAGTTCACATTTGGCTCGTGCTCACCCTACAGGCTACAGTTCTTTATGGATTCTTTTGATTTTTATTTTGTGTGTCAATGTCATTATGAAGATGATCCCTATTGATTTTCGTGATGATCAGATAATTTTTCACCGAAATATCGTGTCTGACTTGACGTTTTACTCTATTAGCTATATTGTGCAACTCATGCTCACTCTACAGGCTACAATTCTTTACTGATTCTTTTGATTTTTATTTTGTATGTCTATGTCGTTATGAAGATGATCCCTATTGATTTTCATGATGATCTATCGATTTTCATGATGATCGGATAATTTTTCACCGAAATATCGTGTCTGACCTGACGTTTTACTCTATTAGCTATATTGTGCAACTCGTGCTCACTCTACAGGCTACAATTGTTTACAGATTCTTTTGATTTTTATTTTGTATGTCAATGTCATTATGAAGATGATCCCTATCGATTTTCGCGATGATCGGATAATATTTCACCGAAATATCGTGTCTGACTTGACGTTTCACTCTATTAGCTATATTGTGCAACCCTGTAGTCACTAAAGACTGTTTAATCATTTCTGACAGCTGCCAGTGGGCGTATTTTACCTTGCCTGGCAAGCTATCTTTTACCTTGGTCCCTCTGTCAACATTTGTGTGCACAATAGAGACTTCAGTTTTCAACTGATTTTGATGAAGCTTTGGAATTGATAAGATGTTGGTCAAGTTCGAATTTGACAATTTTTCACCAAACAGATTTAGAGTTATTGCTCTTGACTTAGTAAAATGGTGTCAAACTACAATTTTTATACTCCCATATGGAAATGTGGACGTCCTTATCTGTCGGGTCTTTCAACATTTCTTATTAACACAATAGAGAAGACTACAGTTTTCATCTGATTTAAATGAAATCATTGATATTGATGCGATTTTGGACTGACTTGAATATGAAGGTTTTTCGATGAACGTTTTTTGAGTTATTGACTAAAGAAAAACGTGTCAAAGTTTGTTTGTGAACACTATAGAGACTACAGTTTTCAACTGATCTTAATGAAATTTGATGTCAATTATTCTAATCGGAATTTCAAGAAACAGTTTTTGAGATATTGCTCTGTATTAATAACATCAGAGCCGACTGATTTGATGAATTTATTTGATTTATTTGGGTTACAGATATTGATATTGAAAAATGTGTAAAAAAAATTTGGCATAAACAACTAACAGTAAATATATAATAAAAACTCCAACACAAGTTTCTAAACATTTTGACCATCATGGCCTTCTTCATTGGAATTAATTTACAACATTAAAAAATAAGCATTACATCAAAACGTTGGGAAACTTGAGTTTTTATTTTTCAATTAATCAGAGACTCTATATATAATAGTAATATCAAAAATATCAAACTACAAATGCATTATAAAGACCTTTAAAATTAAAAAATTCATATTTTACTCACTAAAGACTCGATTAACATTAGCATCAAAAACGCATAACATTTGATGTGATCATAAATATTGATGAAATATCGAAAAAGTGTGCATTTGACTAACAGTTATTGAGTTCTTGTACTTGACGTAAACATGTCAAATTTGTTCATGCGCTCAATGGAGTCCATTTTTTATTCGATTTGAATCTTTGTGTTAAGAGTGAAGAAGTTCCTAAAAACTTCTATGTAAAGCACTGGCCAAGGTCACAAATAAAGAGATAAATGTTCAATACAAGATAAGGTGAAGTTAGCATAGTTAGTATTAAGTTAAAAAAACAACCACGAGTAATCTAAATAAACAAAAGTCTATAATATGAAAGTTTTCTTGTTACCAGTTCTAAAAGAAAAGAGTATTTATAGGTTCTGAAAAGATAAACATCTATATATAAGGATTAGAATATATTAAACTTAATGAGCTAGAAAATAGAGAGGGGGGTCAAGTATTATTGGATTCAATGGGATCGAGTCTACCACGGACCAGAAAATTACTAAGGTTTTTATTGCGCTTATAGGCAATTACAAGACGTTTGGTATATACATTCGGAAGTCTGTTCTGTAATTCACTGTAATACTGTTTGACGATGGATGAGGTTTTGGCAGCTGTATGATTAAAGGTGGCAGCAAATGGAATCATTTGATTATCATGCTGGATGTTAAGTCCATTTGGAGCCACTGTTTGGAGTTGGTCCATCCAGTAGCTTTCTCTCTGTAATCGTTTGGTTTTTGGTTTGATAAGATCAGAGTCAGGAATTGATTCAATAGGCATGATAAGTAGGTCTTCAATGGAATGGTCAGGTAAATTAAAATGATGAGAAATTGGTCTATTTTTGCTATGAATTATATCAAAGCGATGGCCGCTAAATCGAGTTCGCAACGCGTTCTGGGTTTCGCCGACGTATTGTTTGTCACATTTTTTACACGAAATTAGGTAAATGATGTTTTTATCCGTACATGTGAGACGTTCTTTAATTTCAAATATTTTTCCGTTTTTTTTATTTTGAAAATAATGAGACATATAGATATGTTCACAGGTGCGACACCGAGAACCTCTACATGGTATTGCGCCAAAGTTATTTATTGGAGGAGGGGGTTCATTAATTTTCAAAAGGTCCAAAACAGTGTCATTTTTAATTTTGCGCAAGAATCATTTGGAATAGCCCCTCTCTCTTAATTTACTGAAAACTAGTCTACAAGCTGCATCAAAATCTACTTTTTGAGTGCAAATTCTAAAAAAACGCAAAATTTGTGATTTGATTATTCCTGTAAAAGTATGTTTTGGGTGAAAAGAGTTTTTATATAAAAGTTGGTGAGTATCCGTTGGTTTAAAAAATACTTTGATGTCTAATTTGTTTGTTTGAGAGAAACTTGGTCCTTTGAATACCGTAGTATCCAAAAAATCCATACTTTGTTCAGAAATATTCGCAGTTAGTTTTACAGAAGGGTGGTGATTATTTAAAATTTCAAAATATTGCCAAAAATTTGTTAAAGACTCGGTCCAAATAATAAAAATATCGTCAAGAAACCTTCCATAGAAGAAAGGTTCAAAAGGGGAAATGGAAGAAATTTCCAGTATAAATGTATAAAAGTATAAATGTGACGTTGACGGACTTCGGGTTTTGCTGAAAGATATTCATATTGGGAATCAGAAATAAATTGTTTGTTTACTAAAGTTTTTAAAATATTGTTTATCTTTTGCGCAGTTTCCATGAAAATAGGTTGATCAAGTACACGGTAATGATTAACATTGTTCAATTGTTTCTCTAATTCAAAAATGTAGTCTTCGCGATCCTGAATGACACAGCAACTGCCTTTGTCACTCTTTCGTAGTATAATGTTCTGATCGTTTTTTAGGCTATTCAAAGCTTTCCTTTCAAACTTGGTGAGGTTGTGTTTTTCATTCACCAGAGGTAAATGAGATATTTCTTCATGTAATTTATCGCAAGTAGCCAAAATATCTGAGTCAATCGCGCTGTCTGGTGGAGTCCAACCAGACTTTTCAATGAACGGTATTCGCTTGCCTCTGCCGAGTCTATTCCAAAAAAAGAAATTTAACTTAAAAGTCCTATTGACGTGTTCAACCGACGATAAAATTGGTTCATGGGAAAGAGTTTTAGATGTCGGAATAAATGTTAGACCTCTATCTAAAACTCTTTTTTCAAGGGGAGAAAGTTTTCGCGAACTGAGGTTAACCACAGTTTCTCCTAATTTTAGAGCATTTTCCCCCGCGTTCAGTTTAAATGGGAGACCCATGAAAAATAAATACTTTTTGCAGTGGGAGACATCCAGTGGATGTTATCCGAAATGACACTGACCACTCCTTTGAAGCGAGGAATAGTATGGGCATTGGTAGACGGTTTATGATATAATAGACTGTTGAACTTCTGGAGGTTATTGACTAAATGAGGTTCAGCTAATTGTAGCTCCTTTGAGTAAGGAATCTGTGTGACGTAAAGGGTAGGAGACGGAAATTTCGACTTGGCAAGTTTGAGGAGTTCCAGCATTCTTCTGTGTATGGATTCTCCTGATGCCTGTTTATTATTTAGGCCAACATGAAATAACACCTTTTTCGGAATGGTTGTTGGAGAGATCTTGGAGAGTAATGTATTGATATGCTGAATTCGGGCACCAGGGTAAGATTCGGCTTGGGTATCTGGATGTAGGAACGGGATGTTGCTGATGTTGGAAGATCCAATGATAACTGTTGGGTTGGTGAGTGTGGGAATAGACCATTTGGATTTATCCTTCTCATTATTATGACGTCGTGGTTTACAGGCTGGAGATGAGGGTGAGGTGGTTAAACTTAAGCGGCGGCGAGTATTGGTACGTTGAGGTTTCAGTGTTTTAGGGTTCGATCTTGGCGTCGTCATTGGTGTGGATGGAGTTGCAGTAAAAGTTGGTAATGATAAAGTACGTCTATCAGTGTGAGGTTTCTTGCTTATGGATAGTGGTTCTTGCGAAGTACTAAGGCCAGAAGGTGATGGAGTTCTTTTGCGTTTCGGCGTAGGTCTTACATCTGCGATTAATGGTAACTGGTGTCTGTTTGGTGTAGAAACTGGTTGAGATTCAGCTTCCATGTCTTCCACCACACCTACGTCTTTAAAAGAGTCTATGATTTTATCAAATTGATCAAGGTTATCTTTTTGGAGTCGACGATATGACTTCTTAGCCCAATTTATTGCTTCGAAAGTGAATTGTTTAAATTTGATTCCGAAATATTGCGTGCTTTGATCAAGGAAATTTTTTCAGCCAGCTGTGAATCATAATGATTCTTAAGTGCTATTGCCACGTTTTTAGTCCAAACATTATTTACTGTCTCGATAGCCGAGGAAATAGCAGAATTTTTTAAAGCTAGTTTAACAAACCGATTGAGATCCGAAATTTTAGAGATAAAACCACGTGTGGGAGAACCACTGACTTGCTTTGAAATGACGGAAGCATGGTGAAGACATTGTAAGATTTGGAATAATATCTTCACTGCTGGATTGGTCTCCTGTCTTTGGTGGTTATCAGGATTGTATGGACGACGGTAGTTGTTCTGGCGGTTGGGATTAGTGTTTCCTCTCTGATGCTGGTTTTGTCGATAGTTTGGTTGATTATGCCGATAGTTTGGTTGATTATGCCGATAGTTGGGTTGATTATGACGATAGTTGGGTTGATTATGACGATAGTTGGGTTGATTATGACGATAGTTGGGTTGATTATGACGAAAGTTGGGTTGATTATAGAGATACGAATGCTGGGGAAAGTAATTTTGCCTGGGATATTGCCAATGAGATCTAAAGCGATGGTCCATGGTAGCTCAAAGAATAAATAAATATGATGAAAGTACTTAAAAAGCACAAAAAATACTTAAAGGGTAAAAAGTACCTAAAACGGTAAATTTTTATTTGAGAAAACAAAAAAGTGGAAAAAATATATAATAACTTACAACAAATATCTTACAAAAATTAACAAAAAATGGGGGGCTCCTCGAAATATACGATCCGGATTTCGCTATATTAGCTTCTTCAGGTATAATGTGAGTTAGATGGTGATGAGAACATAGTCTCATGAAAGCACTGGCCTAGGTCACAAAGTAAAGATTTATGATAAAACAAGGTACAAATTAAAGGTTAAGATAATGAGATATGTTAACTAAGGATGTCTCTGTAATACTATCTGTGGTAGTATCATTTCTTTAACTGAAATAGCTGAAATTATAAGAGTCAACATTTTTCTGATATATCAATAATCATCTAAAGATAAAACCTGTATTGTGAAACAAAATCTTTTCAAGTATCTATAAGAAAATAAGCATTATTTTGTGTGATCATTGGAATTGATAAGATATACTCCATTTCATTCCGTGGGAAAAAGTTCATCCAATCTGAAAGCTCAGAAAAAAAGACATCTATACCATACATTCCATCAATTCACACCCAAAAAGACCTATATACCCTACTTTTCATCATCAAATTAACTCATTTAAAAATAGGATGAGTTTAATTTTAAAACACGAACAAGAAAGATTTAAAGGAGATGGTTTCATCTCAGCACTAACTTCTCTAATTCCAAAAGTAGCTATCTTTGTTTCAAACAACAAATCACTTAATTCATCCGGAAATAAACTCTGGGGAATGACGTCATTTATGATCAAAGATATACTCTACCATGTCTACACGTTATCTACATAGACTTTCAGGCCTTTTCTCTTGTTTACAATGATCGTATAAACGCCACGTTTTAGTTCAATAAAACTGTAAACATCTTTAGTGTAAATTCATATTCAGTTTTAAATTTGTTGTCAAATTTTTTACGAGGATTCGTCTAGATAGGAAGTCATGCAATCCTGTCTAAAATACTAAAATAGTACTAGTAGTAAAATGGCGAATCAATATGTGCTTGAATGCAAATTCAAACCCATGTTCCTTTAGCAACGGTACGATGATTATTCATATCTAACCATAGCTTGAACAAACCCATATCCTCGTTATTAGAGACTAATAACCTCCCTTGGCAGACCATACGTCACCATTGGATATATCCAATTGGGAATCTCGTAATATGTGGAGTTAAAGGACGGTAATTGAAAATGCCGGTATTCTTTGAATCATTGGAAACTGATGCAGATTCCCACCAACCCAATTGTCAATCAGTGATCGATTTGAAACTTGACAGAAAGGTACATAATGTGTACCAATTTCAATTACATTTTTGAGTCATTGATTCGCAAGTCATTTGGAATAAATGTGAATATTATTCGAGGAGCATAAAAATTGTTTTATTCTTGTTCTGAAAATTATCAAAGCTGTTTGGCACTATGACAACATCTCAACCATGAACTTTGAGATTTAAAAGAAAGTAAATTTGGTACTTCAAATTATGCGCAAAATGTTGTTTGAAGGAATATAATTCGTAGAGATGTAAACTCTCTACCAATCAAAATTAATGACAAGAATATGGGATTGTGAGAGCAACAGCTAGATGATCATTATCATCGTACCATTGCTAAAGGAACATGATTCAAACCTGAACATATTATGAACTATTTTCTATCGGCTTATGAAAATTGAGTTGTAAATCAAATTTCGTGGTATGATAACATTTCAGACAGATAAGAAATCAACATCTATTTCTTTAATGCTTAATTTTTGAACAGAAAAACATTGAGTTAAACATGGTGAAATTGCAGGTTTCACTTACAACATTCGTGTTGAAAAACTCCAGGCCCAACAATCTAGACCCATACTAGAGAATTTATTAACATAACGTTAACGGCCATCGCTGTATTATTTACCTCGAATGTCTGACTACCAGATTTGTTCATGTTACAGTCATATATAGGTGTATTCAATCGAGATAGATGGCATGATTATTTTCATTAACACCGCATCGCCATAGCCATGACACTCAGTTTTCTGAGTTTTAGATTTTAGTTCTCATATATATTGACATTAAATGCTGTCATCGGAACTGTTGTCGAGCTCTAAAGAGTTGTGATCCTTGTCTAAAAAATCCAGGCATTTCCTTTAAGAAAGTGATGGATAGGCGAAAACTGAAACGGGATTCTCACTACTACTCACTATTGAATCAACTGCGCTTCTTGTCTTGTTTGTCTTCTATGTCATCACTCGGTCACGTGAGGTGGACCTAATTAAAGATCGGCTGGGTTGCACAGCTTGATTAGAATTGTGTCTTTTTTGCAATTTTTGCACTGCAGATATAATTTTTTTTTCTACCTAACCTCATTAGTACATCTAGCCCTGCGCCACACATTTATTCCTTTATTTCGATCTTGTTGTAAATGTAAACATGACTTATTGTTTACAGACTTGCTATCGAGAGCTCTGATAGACTGTATTTGCCAGCATACAAGCCAATCAAATCGCTGATTTACCAATTTCCATGATACAAGAAATGTGGCTAGGTCATGGTAAAAAACGAAGTTTGTAATAGCTTGATACTATGAAGATGGGGGTATATTGGTACCACCAATGTCTATCAGTCAACATGCACTTTCACAATTGCTTGCAAACACTCTACAAGGATGCAATGCTTGACAGGTTTTGAGAAAACCTGTTGACTATGACCCAAAGATTAACCCTATCAAAAAAAAAAGAAAGAAAAACCTGTTCTTTAAAACCTTGTCAATTTTTAACTTATGTTTATTCCAAAAGATACAAGTCAACCCTTATCAAAATGTGAGTAAATTGTGGCTCTCAATTGTGATGGTACAATTTCTTACAAATTTTGAGGAAAGTCTATCCGATGTCAAGAAAGAAGAAATATTTTTTCAGTGTTATGGCTCTTTTTCTTTAAAATGAATTCTAATATTAACAAATCCGCAGGTGAGCTCGCCTCTTTAAAGTCAAATGTACTGTACATGTATGTAGGATAATCAGTTTAAAGGAACATTCCCCTTTTTTGTAGGTCGGAAATCTTTTTGCTCATATTTGTGAAAAATATACATCAAAATCTAGAGAAATGTGTCCCTTAATGTATCCAAAAGTTTTATCTGAAAAAATCCAGCCATTAATTTTTTAACGCCAAAACTATTTCAAAGTTTACGTAAACTTTTAAAGTGTTTATTTAGAATCTGTTGGAAAACCACTGTACAGATTTAAGTACAGCAAACGCCTAATTGTAGAGAAAAATGTTTCAAATGTATGTTCTAACGTTTTCAACTAATAATATTGAGTCAAAAGCAAAAACTAGGTCAAACTGCTTAAATAACAAATGTTACTCTCCGTTTGTAATTAGGGAGCCGCGGTGTCTCAGTTAGTTAGACGTTTCCTCGCTAACCTGAAGGTCCAGTGTTCAATCCCGGCATAGGTCGAGATAATACCTCTGGATTTTTCAACCCGGTTTCCCCCTGTCAGTGATGCAGGTAAGAGGGGCTGACATGGAAAAAGCGTCTAGTCATTCGGATGGAACAATAAACCGAGGCCCCGTGTGCTACAGGCTGTGCACGTTAAAGATCCCTGGACAGTTGGAAATCGAAAAAGAGCAGGCGAATGCCGCTGTCCTAGCCAAATTTCCCTCATGGCACTCTGCATGGCATTGCCCGTTTTCATTAGCCCACAAGGTGCAGAAGAGTAGGAAGTAAATCTCCATTCATTTAATTTCATTTCATTTTCCGTTTGTAACTATCCCTTTTAAAACAAATTTAGTTTGATCAAGTAGATACATAGATATACATAGCATACTTAAGAAATATTTTCAGGTATAATTTATGATGTTTGTGATAATGAAAATGTTTTCCACAAGAAAAGCAGAATGTCCCTTTAAACAGAAAACTACCTTTAATTTGATTGTACTTTTCTGCTTCAGAAGCGAAAAATACTGTCTTATGAAGAATCACATTCAGTGGTTGTGAAAATAGATGAAAGATTATTCACTATAGTTATTCGAGGTCTAATGGCAGATATAAATGAAGTTAGTAGCAGAATCAACAGTATATTACGCAATGCATTAACCAAAGAACATGAAGCGAAATATTCAGCTGTATTAAAAGATGTTATTCAATGGAGTTGGTTAGATAATGGGAAAAGAAAAGAATATCCTAAATTTGCGAACACTAAAATTGAAGGGGCATATGTCAGTAAAGATTCAGATTTCAAATTGAAGTATTCAAATCAAAAGTTAACATTTGATTTTGATAATATGGAAGTAATTGATGAACATGGAAAAACAAACCCATTGTTACGTCAAGATAAGATAAAAGGTAAATTAATGATGCTATATTATTAAATAATGAATTTTGTTTATCAACTCACTGTTGATAGTTTGTATAAATAATGTCTGATGGAATATTTTTATGAATGTTTTATACTGTTTTCAATCTTGTCCAATGGAATGAATTGATAGACTTGTTTTTGTAGAACTATGATGACAAAATCAATGTAAATTTATGGTAAATTCATCTGTGAGTATGCTAGGAAAGATGAACCGAGTTGACAATGTTTATGATAGGGGTGGATACACAGATAGATGTATCAAATCTAGATTAACATGGAATCATTCATCATTTTATTCATTGTTTATTTACTCCAGAAGCTACAGAAGCAACAGGATTACCTACAACATGGACAATAACAAATGACACAAATTTGAACATAATTAAGTTACAAGCTGGAAGTCCCGAATACAAACAAGTGGAGAGCAATTTTAATGCAACACTTGGAGGACCGGCCATACCAATAGTTAAGGTATTTGAAAGATATAATACTATGAAAAAATCTAACTATGAATGAAGGATTGAAGGTGATTTATACAGCAACATGAATATGCTGAGATAACTGTTTGTTTTTCTGTCTAATAAGTTAGTTTGAGTCATAATATTATGACAATGTAATTCTTTGCTTGATAGCATTTAGGATAAAGAATATAGTCTGTGTGACTTTGGTTTCTAGTCAAATATTGTAATATCTGCTTAAAGACAATACAATGAATACTGAAAGTGTTTATGTTTATTTACAGATTGAAAGAATAGAAAATAGTTCAGTTTATCAACAATATATGGCCAAAAAGAAGCATATGGAATTGGAATTGAAAAACACGTCTGCTACAGTGGAGAAACCTGTATTATGGCATGGTACTGATCAACAGGCTGTACATAATATCAATAATTATGGTTTCAATAGAAGTTATTGTGGTAAAAATGGTATGTTGTGTTTGTTGTTATTTCTGTTTTGTTTGTTGATGAGTATCAATAATCCAAATCATATACAGTATACTCTGCGTAATCCGACATACACTGGGACTACAAAAAAATCTCTAGATTAGCAAGAGTGTCGGAGTACTCTACATTTTTTAACATTTGCCACATGTTACTATTTATAGCTCAGTGACTCACATTCTACAGACGGCACGTTTCTAATAATAAGACAATAATAAAAGACAATTCAGTTGTATTTGTTACTATCATTTAATTGTTCATATTTTGAGCTACCGTACATATGCTTTTTATTATACGCCCACATGAATCTGTGGTCACATATTGTCGTCGCCCCTGTCCGTCGGTCCGTCTGTCAACACTTCTTGTGAGCACTATAGAGACTACAGTTTTTGTCTGATTTTGATAAAACTTGGTGTGATGCTTAAGATTGATAAGATCTCGGTCAAGTTTGAATTTGACATATTTTCGATGAACGGTTTTTGAGATATTGCCCTTGACTTAGAACACCTTGAAATTTGTTAAAAATTGATCATGAGCAGGATTGAAGCTACAGGTTTCAACCGATTTAGATGAAACCTTGGTGTGATCATTGGAATTGATAAGATCTCGGACAAGTTCTAACTTGACGCATTTTCGATGAACGGTTTTTGAGTTATTGCCCTTGACTTTGTTAAAACACATCAAAATTTGTTAAAAATAGTTCTTGAGCAGGATTGAAGCTACAGTTTTCAACCGATTCTGATGAAACTTGGTGTGATCATTGGAATTGATAAGATCTCGGACAAGGTCTAACTTGACGCATTTTCGATGAACAGTTTTTGAATTATTGCCCTTGACTGTGTTAAAACGTGTTGAAATTTGTTAAAAATAGTTCGTGAGCAGGATTGAAGATACAGTTTTCAACCGATTCTGATGAAACTTGGTGTGATCATTGGAATTGATAAGATCTCGGACAATTTCTAATTTGACGCATTTTCAATGAACGGTTTTTGAGTTATTGACCTTGACTTTGTAAAAACGCGTCAAAATTTGTTTGTGAGCACAATAGAAGCTACAGTTTTCAACCGATTCTGATGAAACTTGGTGTAATCATTGGAATTGATAAGATCTCGGACAAGTTCTAACTTGAGATATTTTTGATGAACATTTTTTGAGTTATTGCCCTTGACTTTGTAAACACGTGTCAAAAGTTGTTTTTTGCCCTTGATTAGAGCTGTGTGATTTAATTGTTTGTTGTATTTGGGTTATTGATATTGATTTTAAAAAATTTTTGTGGAATTATTCAGCATAAATAATCTCTTCAATATGAGAAAATTCGTACTTTAGTCAATAAAGACTGCTTTATTATTTCTGACAGCTGCCAGTGGGCGTATGTTACCTTGCAACGCAAACTATCTTTGGAATTAATATTGTCCGCAAACTTTGATTTTCATTCTTCTTTACGTTTTAAAATGCTGCTTATTGTTGTTCGACATAAGCCAAATTTCATAGCTTAATATTTCTGCGAAGAGTGCGGCACTTTTTCATAATCTTCAATAATTTGCTGTTTCATATCCAGAGACAAATCAGTATGGGCATGCTTCCGCGAAAATTGTTAGCTTGAGAATTTTGATAAAACGCGTAACAAAGAATGGTTAAGTTGCATATTTCTGTTCTATACAGTGTAACGAATGATACGAATACCAATGCAATTTGGTCTAAAGGCAATGACCTTTAGTTCAGCGATCTTTTGTTTTCATGTGATTTGATCCGGATTATCAATAAGATAAGCGATTATCTAATTGACGATTAAGTGATTAAGATGTGTAGATGTCGGATTATACAGTTTTTTCTGAGTGTCCGGACCACTGATTAGTGTTGTAATTCGAAATACACAGAATGTCGGAGTATTCAGAGTTTTTTAAACTAGCCTAAGAAGGAAATCAATCGAGACCAGAAAATGATGTCAGATTACGCAGAATGTCAGAATACTCAGATGTCAGATATCACAGAGTACACTGTAATACCGATACATACAATACATGTTGACATTATGTCATAACAGGTGGCAAGATTCCCTACTTATTACATACTGTAAGGCATTAATCCTATCAAGAGCAGAAACTTTGGATGAGATATATTTTCATGGTGCAATGATGATACTTAGTAACATGTTTTGGAGTCAAAATGTTTTGTTTTGTATTTTGTAGCCACTGCATATGGTCAAGGAGTTTATTTTGCTGTTTCATCGTCTTATTCTGTTGGATATGCCAAGGGAGTACAAGGACAAAGGCAGATGTACCAGTGTAAAGTGTTGGTGGGTGAATATACAAAAGGAAACAGTTCATATAGAGTTCCACCAGCAAAACAAGGATTATCTAGTGTTTCTAGTGTTTATGAGTCTTTAGTTGATAATGTTAGTAATCCATCAATGTTCGTTATATTCCATGATACCCAGGCTTATCCTGAATATCTCATAACATTTTAATCTTAAATATTACACACAATGTTCTAATTGTTACAGAAAACACAAAAACCTATCATCTTGATATAACAAAAAAAATGCATTTTTGATAATTTTTCATGGCCTTGTTAGTGTTTTTATAACATATATACATAAAGAGATTGTGGACTTTTAGCAAAAGTATTTGTCATAAATTATCTGGGTGATTATTTCTTGTATTGATATTAGTATCATGTAATATTTTGTACATGTATTGGTTATAGCTACAGGACATATTTTAGGGAATATATATTCTTTGATTCAGATTTGTACTAAAGTCATTGTGTCAAAACCATGCCCCTATTCCTCATTCTTCCTCGAGAAAAACCTTACTTTGGAATATTAACTAATATTAATTAAGAATGTGTTCTTATCTCTTCGAATAGGCGGCGGCAAAGCGATGTTGTGTTTTGTATACATGACCTCATTACCGTTCTACCCATCTGATTGGTCAGTTTCAATCTCATTTTTATTTGTAGAAAAGGAAGTGTAGTGGGCTTATTTTATTATGGGTTAATAAGACCATGTCAAAACCCATATTTGTGATACAATGTACTAAAGTATATGTGAAAAAATAATATCACATGACTAAAATTATCAGTTTGATCATAATAAAATTTCAGATTCATTTTTGTTGTGATTTGTTGAAAATGATGCAGAGCATATTTGTTATAGATTATCATATATTAAAGGGACAGGTTCCCCCTCTTTTTGACCAATCGTACCTGAGTCTCAGAAATGGCATGTTTGTGGCTGAGCTAATCAGTTACAGCTCACCATTGAAATTTGAACCTTCAAATCAAGATCAAGACATATGTATAGAAAAAGAAAAAAGAAATTTCTGGTTAAAAGTATATTTGAAGGGATTATTCGATTTTAGTGAAGTTCTAGTATTCTGAACACTATTAATATATTTTCAAGACCAAGAATTAACCAGGGAAAATTGTCAACCATGGCCTTTAACCTTTTTATATTTTATTTTATTATGTCATTGTGTAATCTTAGCTTTTATTTCAGCATATATTAAAATCATACTTTTTGTTTGTCTGTCTTTCTGTCCATATGTTCACTATTATCCTGTACTCACTCTTCAAGTTACAATTTTTGATTGATCCTTTTTGGTTTTGGATTTTTGGATTTCTGACGATTTTGATCAGACAATTTTTCATCAATTTTCACCATTGGGTTAAGCAATTGTGTGAGGTATAGGTACTTTACAGACTACAAGATTTGATTAATTTGTTTTTATTTTCAGCCTGTATAAGACATTGATTTTGATGATGATGGGACAATTTTGTCAATAATCTAAACAATCAACTTAATTTGTTTTCTCTTTTTATACACTAATGAAAATCAGAAAAATATTTAGCATGTGTTATTGCCCTTGTTCTTGAAAACACGTTCATTTTTTTAGCTCATTAACACTATAGATGGCACAATTCTTGACAGATTTTTACAACACTTGGTAATATTATTCAGTATCGCCTCAAAAGGTTAAAAAGAAGTGTTGAATATTTCATACTGGTGATTGTTACTGTACTGAAAAATATTTTTATTCAAAATCAAGCTTCCAGTGGGCCTATATTACTTTGCCTGGCAAGCTATCTTTTATTTTGCTATTTACAGGGTAAAACTGTGATTACATGTGTATGCAATTGCAAACTCAAACACAATTAAAAACTGACAAAAGCAAACTGTATCCAAATCATTAAGAAATCCACAAGTCAGATTTCATTCGTTTGCAAACTCAAACTCAACACCTCTCTTAGAGCAATGGATGGTTGAGCAATTTTTTGTGCAATGCAGACAGCTTGTTAGGTGCCAAAATGGTGAAATTGAACTTGAGTTGCACTTACGGATGCATTTAATTGCAGCTGAAGGTTGTTAGAAAGTCAGATGATAATTCAGTGTTAATGTTATGGACCAAAAGCTTGTATTTGAAGTTTGTTGTCATATATGTGCATATAAGACTTTGCATGGCTAAGGTTGTGAGCTTTTTAGGTTAAACTTTTTCAAAACCCACCTTCTTATGTTATGCCTATATCATAAAATAATCATACAACTTTCATAATATCAACATTCAGCATTGCGTAATGCAATAACAAGTCTATATATTACTGTTGCTTGTTAACTTTAAAAGGTTGGTATAAAATATATATTTCTAACGTAGTTAATATAATGTTATAGAAGGTGGATCAGTAATTAAAAATTTTGATACAATCTGGAGGTGATAGCATGCATAAGATTTACTGTGAAAATTGTGTGAAATGTAGATTTGATTATATTTAATAAACAATATAAATAAAATTTTGTTGTTATTACCAATCAATTTCATGTGGAAGGCGGAATGGCTTTTTATACGCCCACACATAAGATGGGCGTATATTGTAATCAATCGGTCCGTTTTGATTTTGTGTGTCATCCCTATTGATTTTCATGATGATCTGATAATTTTTCACCGAAATATCGTGTCTGATTTGACGTTTTTCTCTATTAGCTATATTGTGCAACTCGTGCTCAGTCTACAGGCTACAATTCTTTACAGATTCTTTTGATTTTTATTTTGTATGTCAATGTCGTTATGAAGATGATCCCTATTGATTTTCGTGATGATCTGATAATTTTTCACCGAAATATCGTGTCTGATTTGACGTTTCACTCTATTAGCTATATTGTGCAACTCGTTCTCAGTCTACAGGCTACAATTCTTTACAGATTCTTTTGATTTTGATTTTGTGTGTCAATGTCATTATGAAGATGATCCTATCGATTTTCGTGATGATCGGATATTTTTTCACTGAAATATCATTTCTGACTTGACGTTTCACTCTATTAGCTATATTGTGCTCACTCTTCAGGCTTCAATACAATTTTTTGCCCTTTATCAGAGCTGTGTGATTTAATAATTTGATGTATTTGCCAATGGGTTATTGATATTGATTTTAAAAAATTTTGTGGAATTACTAATATATATAAATATATATATCATTGAATTTGAACTAATAAAATTTCTTTTATATGAGAAAATCTGTACTTTGATCACCATAGACTGTGGGCGTATGTTATCTTGCCTGGCAAGCTATCTGTATTCAATGATCTTCATTGCTATTTCTTAATTCCAAATTCTAAATTCTTGTCTCTTTATTTGCACTCTTAATATAACATTTGTTATTGGAAATTCTCTGAAACCAGCAGAATATTACCAATTTTGAACTTGACCTAGATCGTTCACTATATACATACATACCAATTTTCATAAAGATTGTTGCCTCTATGTGGATACAAGCCAATTTTGAGGCATTCTTACTAAGTCCAGGACAATAACTCTGAAACTGTTTATCCTATTATTACCTAAATTCGGACTTGATTGAGTTCTCATCAATATATACATGCATACCAAGTTTCATCAAGATCAGAAAAAAATGTTGCTTCTATCCTAAGCCAAATTTGACATGTTATTTCAAGGGCAATAACTTTGAATCAAGATCAGATAAAAGCTAAAAGAAAAGAAATGTAGACGGACAGATGGAGAGACAGGGGCTCTAGCACACTCTCAGTCCATTGGCCCCCACTCATCTAGTTGAGTCACTGAATTTCACCAAGAGCTTGCAATGTTCTGCTGTTTGGACATTAGCAACATAAATCTTTCAAATCATTTAATGTATTTCTAATCAAATTCTATTCATAACAATGAATTATCTTAAGAATAATTTTCTGTATACATATATGTGTAATTTGAGTTATGAGTGTGAAACAAAAAGAGAGAGGAATTGAATGTCATTTTTGAACATTAGCCTATTGTCTCCTGTGCTATCTGAATGGCTACATTAAGAGTAGCATTGTTTTCATGTCTGATTTTAATCTAAAAATTAATAATAAATCACTGTGAACTCATAAAGTGTTATATTATACATACCTTATTTACAAACCAAACAAGTCTGTACAGGTCATACAGCCCCCTAATCACAATGGTGTCATTTGTTTAATCAAGTTGAATAGAGTTAGGAATAAGATTAATCTGAACGGTCATCTGGTCAATTTAACTAGTTTATGATAGTTGTGATCGCAACTGGTCAGTCTTATATATCAACTAAGAATGTTTAAGGGTCAGACAGACAGGTTGTGAAAGAAAGGAGACATGTTCTTATGTCAGTTATATTTGAAATTAGTGTGCATGTGATCAGTGTTTATTTATAATCAGTAGGTACAGACAATTAATATTGGAAAATGACAGTTAAACTTTGGAGGAACTTTAATGATATATTGAGTGAAGTTGGTTAAGGTTGAGTGGACACTCTATGGAGTGAGTGAAAGGTATTGATAAGATCAGTGATCAGAAGAGGTATTGATATATTGAGTATTAGTATAGGATTGTCAACTAGTTCACAAGGTAAGATATCCAATCTCTTTTCTCATTCTATGAGTTAAAATATATATCATGAATAATGGCAGATCTGACAGATTTCTGTATATCTTAAGTGTACCAATGTCTCTACAATATAGAATTTAACAGGCCATGGACATTTTGATTGCAGATCAGTATTGTCATTAGTTAGTTATTTAAGTCTTACTGTTCATCCACCCCACAGTGAGTTCCGAATTGAAGTTTTTCTGTTAGTTAAAAATATTTAAGATAAAATTCTAAATTGCATGTAATACGTCAAAGTAATAAACACACTTCCCTTTTTGAAAGTTTTGTGGAAATGACACACTTTTTGAACTGAATTACCTACTGTAAACTTATTTTTACAGTTTACAGAGTTAGTTACAGTCAAAATGAAGGATGAAGTCTTTGTTGTTTAACATTCATTAGTAATATCTGACAGCAATACAACTGTAAATGTAAATCTTGCACATGTACATGGCAATGTCAATAATTAAAATAAGTAAAAAGATGACATAAGAAATATCAAAAGAATTATAAATCAAAAGATATATTTCTATGTACATATATATTTATTACTTTAGTTCAGTAATCTCACTGC